TTCATGACTAGAGTCCACTAATATTGCAGTACTTGCGTTGTTGCAATGAGTATAAGTATAATCCTTTCAGGCAAAAAAATAAAAAATATAAAAAAATGAAACTGAAAATACATGGTAATGAGAAGCCGAACAAATTTAAAAAATTCAATTTTGGGTTACCGGAAATGTATCTTTTATTCGGTAGTTGATTATCAAACTTATATTTTTTGTTCGGTAATGTGATGCCGAACTATTTTATTTTGTTAGATTTCGAACCACCGAACAAAAGTCAATCCAGAAAGACGAAACAAAAACCTACCAAATAAATAAATAAAAAAACTCACAATTTCACTTTTTTGATGATTCTTCACCACCGTTTCTTCATCTATTGCTTTTTTTAATGATTAAAACACTATGATTCTCATTTTTTGAAAAGGGATGTGTGAGAGAAAAGAAAAATTAAGAAAGGAAAACGAGGAGTAAGGATTGAAGATCGAGTGGTGTAAGGAGAAAACAAAATATATTTAATTTTAATGTTTTGTGCTTAAAGATAATTTCACATATGGGCAAGATTAGGAGGATAAAAAAAAAAAAAAAGAAGAAGAAGAAGAAGAAGAAAAAAGAAAAACTCATATAGAGGATATAAAGAGGTAAAATAGTAGTGTATGTAGAATCACCTTTGATTTTTTTATGATGTTCCCAAATGGCCCAATAGTATAGAATTTTCCAAAATATAGTTGCCAGGTGTTGCATTGTTGTTGCTGGATTGTGGTTTGCCATCTTAGAGCAACTTCAACGTTCTTTTTTTATTGTTTACAAGCTAAAGTGTAAAAATTGAATGCTATTTATTTTACCTAATTATTTTTTTTATTTATGTGTTTTAAAAATACTTTTTATTTTACCTATTTATTCGTATAAATTATGTAAAAAGCCTTCCAGGACTCTCCAATTGTAGTTAGTTTAATTTTTTTTTTTGGTTACAGCATCTCTATCAAAATAGTTAAATTTTATCTAAAACTTTATTTTTCTATTTTAACTAACTATCTTTTCAAATACATTCTCCAACAAACTCACAATTTTTTTTATTGTATTATATTTTTATTTTATTTTTTTTGAATTCCAAATTTAATATTTGAGAGATAATTAATTTATGTAACACTTAACCTATTTTTTTCCCATAATTTGTTAGTCTTATGGATAAAAAAGTGATTGTTGTCATATTTTTAACATTAAAATGCATATTTTATTTTATTTATTTTTAAGTCTTAACACTACCTACATTCGTTCGGATCCTTTTAAGCTTATTAATAAAGAGGTTGATTTAATTATCTCAAAACAAGTGTTTTTCCAAATTTAATATTTGAGAGATAATTAATTTATGTAACACTTAACCTATTTTTTTCCCTAGTCTTATGGATAAAAAAGTGATTGTTGTCATATTTTTAACATTAAAATGCATATTTTATTTTATTTATTTTTAAGTCTTAACACTACCTACATTCGTTCGGATCCTTTTAAGCTTATTAATAAAGAGGTTGATTTAATTATCTCAAAACAAGTGTTTTTTTGTATCCAAATTTCAGGGAAGTCAAGTTAATTTATCCTTAAAAAAAATTATATTGAATTTACATACAAAATGATGTGACATTTTATGCTCCATTCATCTCAATTTAAAATACCTATTACTCTAACTTATATTTTCAAAAATAACACAATTATATCATTTAGATTGAGTGTTTTTATACCAATTTTGCTTATAAATATTTTTTCTTAATTTGTAAAATTTTGTTTTTTATATCATGTGTTACAATTGCATTAGTTTAATGATTTCACCACTAATGTTTATTATTAATATAGTAATAATTGATTAAATGATAAATAAAATATATAAATAAATTTAATATATTAAATATTTTATTACCTAAAATCATTAATTGAGTCATCTTCCCCTAGCTATATGTAGCTAGTGGTTTGATGTTCAACTAAAGTAGTTAGCCAAGAATTGAGTTTGATGAAGTGTATTTCTATAGTTTTGTGCTATAAAATAGCTAAAGAAAGACTAATAAACTTGATAATGATACTCTTAAAATGGCTAGTGTAGTAATTAGCTTGTTAAATCAGGTAAAATATGATAAGGCTAGTTGTGGAGGGGTAAAATATTGACCCAAGCCCGAAGTAATTAGGCAAAACAGCTCAAAAGAAAGGGAAGGCCCAAATAAATCTTCTAAAGAGCCCAATAGAGATAACTGGCGGTAAACTGGCGTGTGGCTAACAGCGTGAGGAGTAATGAAGAGTAAAGATCTCCTTCTAGAAGGAAGATCCGCAAAATGTAAGAGGAACATCAGATTCATCTCCATTCAACGATGGAAACATCAGACATCAAATATAGGAGTATAGGTCAGGCCTACTAAACAAAAAGTTCGTCCAATCAACTTGATCTGATGGATACAACGCTTGGTAAGTCGGCTATTAGCATCTGACATAATCCAAGCCCTCCATAAGAGGATGATTCAACAATCAAAGGCAAAAACAACTTGGCTACTTGCCCGATCAGAGCCAAGTATGGGTTCATTCTGGTTATGCAACCGTTTTCTGAGGGTTTGGCCAATTTACACTAGCAAGGAATTTGTCAAGATATTTCAATATCTCGAAATGCTCCTCCGATATCCCATTTAATTTTTGCAGATGATTGCCTATTATTTATGAATTTTAAGGCAGAGGAAGTATGGTGTTTGAAATGGTTCTTGGAAGCTTTTTGTCACCAATCAAGTTTAAGGATTAATTTTCGTAAGTCAGTAATTATGGCAAGTCTTAACATGGGTGGAATCGAAAGGAGTTTTATTAGGGATTGTTTTAATATTAAGCTAGTGGAAAATATTGGAATTTATTTGGGTGTGTGTATAGAGAAAAGCAAGGGGAAAGGTGATATGTGTTGGGTCAATATTGGAGAGGGTGCATAAAAAGATTGCAAGAATGGAAGAAGGGTTTACTTTCGTTTGCGGGCAGGTGTGTATTAGGTAATCATACCCTTCTTTCAATCCCAATTTATTTATTGGTAGTATTTAAAGCTCTTGAGTATTTTGTGCAGCAACTAAGGCGTATTGTGAGGAATTTTATATGGAAAGGAAAGAATGGATCAGGAATACATTAGAAGAGTTGGGATCTTTTATGTCGACCAAAAATAGAGGGTGGGTTGGGTTTAAGGGATCCGAAATAGTTGAATCAGGCTCTTCTGGCTAAATTGGGTTGGAGGAATCTCACCTGGCCAAACAATTTGTTGAGTCAAGTGTTGAGGGCGAAATACTATAGGAATGTGCACTTCTTAAAGACCCTCTCTACCAATCAAAACCTTAGAGCACCACGTGTCCATATTCCGGAAATACTGAATAATCACCCATTCATGGTGACGGAGAAGTATTTTGGGGAAGAGATTTATTAAAACAGGAAATTCGGTGGATTGTCAGCGATGGGAACCTAATTGATCCTTTTGAAGATTAGTGGATACCAAGGATGGATAACAAATTGGTAGGATGTAGCTTGGGGAATAGATTTCGGGAATTCAAGGTTGCGCATTTGATTGACCATGATAAAAAAGAATGGGAAGAACCTTTAGTCAGAACCAACATAATATTCCTACAGATATGGCACAACAAATCCTCAATGTTTATATTCCTAAGTCCAAAGTTGTTGATAAGATTATTTGGGACAGAAGTAAAAATGGGGAGTATAGTGTTAAATCTGGGTACGCTGTTGGTATTCAAGGTTTGGATAGGTTATATGGGAGTGCACGGGTGAGGGTGGATATGCATTGGAAAAGGCTTTGGTGTCTTAAAATTCCTCCAAAGTGGATAATGTTTTTGTGGAAGTTAAATCATCGAATTGTGCCAGTTAAAGTAGCTATTCAGAAAAGAGGAGTTAAGGTAGATTCTGTTTGCCCAAGGTGTAAGAAATATGATGCAATGCAGGAACACATGTGCTTTCAGTGTTCGTTTTCTAGAAGGATATGGTTTGGATCGAAGCTGCAGCTTAATTTTGATATTGGACAGGAATTACGGGTGGAGGATAGGATTGGATTGAATTTTGGTTTTGTAATGCTTCAGATGAGAGTGCTATCATAGAAGCTGAAGCTGTGGCTGTATGGATGTGCTTCAGTGGTTTTGTTCTCGAAATCTCAGAGCAGTGCTAATTCAAACAGATTGCCAAGGATTGATTAATAGTTTGAAATCTAGTATTGCTGCTGACTGATTTTCTAAATCCATAATAGATGATACAAGTAATATATGTAAGAATATGGACTTTCTTTGCATTATGAAGGTACATCGTAATATTGTAAGGCCTACCCATAGCGCGGCCAAAGCTGCGTTGCAAAGAGGTGGCTAATTTTGTTGGTTGATTGTTATTATATATATGAAGTAGATGTTTCCCAAAAACGAAAAAAAATAAACTGTTCTAAAACCCCTCCCTCCAAACCCTCTTTTCTTCCCTTTCGGACGACCTCCGTCCTGTCTTCTTTTTCTTCCCTTACAGTGGTGTGGAGTATGGAAAAGGGGCGGCGGTGGTGGCAGCCGACAGTGGTGAGGTTAGGAGAGAATGTATGTTCTTTTTGTCCTTAATAGTAATTTGGTTGAAGGGTTCAATCATAACTAAAAAAATTCCGAAAATGGTATGAACTGAGAAAATGTGGAATGTGCAAATAGAAACTTCCAACACTTTTTGAACACAACTCCATGAAAAGGGTTATAAACAGCCCCATAAGTTAAACGGGGCCATCTTCCATTCACATAAACCTTATAAATCAGCACTCATGTATTTTGCACTGTCTACACACATCATCTCAGCACACACTTGCAAGCATGCATGCTACAACTCTCTGTATCTGTACATATCATACTCAGTGCAGCTGTTTTCATTTTTTCCAACTATGAACCAACTATGAACCAAATGACCCAAAAGAAGCTTCAATGATAACACAGCTTATGAGCCGACAACCATATAATATCATATTATTCAAGCAAAGCATATAAATATCAACACCAATATCAATAGTATTTACCAACCCAAAATACTCTTTACAAACAGTCGGCTTATAGACTTACTGACATGACCAACTCACCACAAAACCAAGAAAATTTTAAAATCATACAAAGTTGACAAAAGCTATCATTGATACAACTCGGGGAAGCAGGCACAACACAGATCAGATCACACAATTGGAAAAACTAAACAAATATCACGGCTGCGCAGAAACACCACGGTATTATGAGGTGCTCGTGCCCCTGTAATCATATTACTGCTCTCACTGTATCTATCTCTCTCCCAAGCTACCTTTTCTACACGGCCAACAAGGAGAATTGAATCTTAGTTTGGGAATGCAGGGAACAAACCTAGTTGGCTGGATCATTAACTTAATCTACAAGACGGGAACCCAAAATTTCCACCTAATAGCTTGAAGGAAAATGGGGACAGAAAGGCATATGGTCATCTTTCTATTTATCCAAATGGGTTTCCTCCAACACTAGAAAAAGTATTTGGGGTAGCGGATGCTGAATACATTCCACCCAGGTGTTGATGCTGTGGATTTGGATTTGTGGATCCAAATGCAGCTCCATCACTGCCAAAACCCACTACTGCTTGCTGCCTGCAGAGATTTAACAAAAGACGTCTGTAAGTAAATTCCCACCAAAACATAATTCATTACCTAAAAGCAGCACCATTGAACATTGTTGAGAAGTATGAATCATATTGAGATAAGAAATCTAATAAACAATCGTGTCCATCAGAACAATGAAATAAATAAAGTGAAAAATCAACTGCATGGATAAAATAGCACAAACACTTTCTAAGGAGGAGCCATGCTTGTGTTGGACACACAATTTCTCAGATACTCCTAAATACATGTCCTGCATTTCTTAGACGTCTCCCAACTTAAAAAACAAATTCCATAATTTCAGATACTTCGAGGACCCCTCTTGAACTAACTTCATAAGCTTCCCGGAATTGCCTATGTGAAACTTCATATAAACACATGCCATGGAAGTGTCACACATTTTTAAGACTTGCTGTGACATTGTCCATGTCTATGCTACATAGTGCATGTACATGAATTTTTTAAAATAAAAAACAACCTAGAACAAACTCGCAGAAAATGCATTCAATTGCCAAACCACTTCAGGTAGCATACTTGCCTACGGGACGACAACAACAATAACCAGGGGCGGAAGCGGGGGCCTGGCCCCTGCTAGCTGCTGCAAAACTGTATAAATATATGTATTATGTATATGAAACTTAGGCCTCGTTTGGGGACTAAACATTTTAGCCAAACAGTCATTATAAATTGTCACATCACTTTCTCTACTTTTCTGCACATCTTTTTGTAAAAAACCAAAAAGTTACTAAAATAATCTGTTCCCAAACAAGGCCTTAGTTAGTTTAATTATACTTGGTCCCCCAATATCATATTTCTATTCATATACTTTTAAATACATATGGCCACTTATTTTCTTCCATTCATTTCAATTTCTATCCTTAATTATGGTACACAACCTCATAAGAAAAGTTATGATATTCTATTGTATTAGTAGCAAACTATTGTGATTATGTTGTGCACCATAAGAAAGACTTAGTTACGAATTATTGTAGTTGTGTCATGAACATTAAAATGTTACGAACTATTATAGTGAGAAAAGTTATGAACTAGTGTAATTTTGTTACAAATCATTATCGTATAGTTATGAAAAGACATAATGTATGCACCTTTTAAGTGAGTGCATACAATTTAAAATATTTTGTATAAAGTGCAATCTGTAATTTATTACCATTCAAGTATTAGGTGAATTATGTGATACTACTGCTAATTTGTATTTTTTTTAGTGGTGGGTCAATGAAATTCAAGTCCTTAGAACACATTAACAGAGTGATTTCATTATTTATTAGGCTTATTTTTAATAATTATTTATTCAATTTAATAATTATTCAAACTGTTTAAATTTTTCTTAACCCAACCGCTTGAACTTGCCCAATGTCTTGCTTTTAGGCCTCCCAATCACCGAATCCTGGCTCTGCCCCTGACAATAATGCTAATTAATAATAACAAATGCAAAAGAACGTAAGTCACCTAGGCAGCAAGTTATTTGGTATCTGTTGCCCCATGTATGCACCTGAAATATTATTAAAGAAAATGTCACAACACTTAAAGAGCAATATAATTAAATATGTGACCAGATTTTTCATTTCATTTTTTTTCCAAAAAGCGGATGCTATATTACTTGGAGGCATTGCCGATGCAAAAGATGGTGGTGCCTGGTGATGCATTGCTGAGGGATGGGGATGCATCGCTGAGGGATAAGATGACTGTGATGGCATCCATGTTGGCGAAGGAGTACCGAGTCCGGAAGTGCGCAATAAGCCAGCAGGAGCTGCCACATTAGGCAGAGCACCTTGCAAAGATGCCATGGAAGGAAACTACATTACAAAAAACACACCACATAGAATTAAAATCTTCCTCTGAAAAAAAAAAAAGAAAAAAGAAAAAAAAAAAGAACTTGTGAGCTGTGGAAGATTCTTTAAAAAAAAATAAAAAATAAAAAATATAAATATAAATAAAAAATTAAACAAAAAGAGAGAATCAGCACAAGATTCAACTAATTGAATCAATGCACAAGGTATCATTCTGACCAATGATACATTTCAAAAGAGAAGACTCAATCGCTATATTTATACTCAATGGTGCATCATGTGTAAAAGGGGTGAGGAATCTTTGAATCATCTTTTCTTACACTGCCCTGTAGCTATGAGGTTATGGCATCAACTCTTTCTTTTGGTTAATTGACCATGAGTGGCTCCAGCAGCAAGTATCCGCATGCTTTTAACTGATTTTCAAGTTTTTGGGGGCAAGAAAAGGGCAAAAGTGTTGTGGCTTTGTGTGGTATTTGCTATCTTTTGGGTCATTTGGTTGGAAAGGAATGCAAGGAATTTTTAAGAGAAATTTCGGGACTTGGATCCTATGTGGGATAGAGTTCGCATTTTGACATCATTTTAGGCTTCTGAATCCCTCCGTTCAAAGGGGTCCAGCTCTTTTTGATTACTAGTGAATGGGAGTCTGTGCGATTTATAGTTCTTGTTTTGTTTTTGTTTTGCTCATAGATACTTGTTTGATTGTAAAGGACTTCTTGTCCTCTTTTGTATTTTTTTCCCTATTTTCTTAATAAATTTCTTTAATTAAGTAGACTAAAATGAAAGACTGAATTAATAACTAATCAGGCATATCCACGTGTCACAATCATAAAGAAAGTCTGAGCACTATATTCACACACACACACACACATATATATATCAAGCAAGCTAAAACTTCCTGATCACTTCCCCTTTTTTATTCAAACAGCAACCATAATTTGAGCGGTAATTACAAAATGGTTTGTTAACATGCATGGAAGTGATGAAGCAAACAGTTCAACCTTTTTTTCCTTTTCTTTTTTTTAATATGTTTATTGCTAAACACTTCTAAATGACACACTAAATGGGTCAAAATAGATGGAACAAATCAGTTTGAATTTAATAGCGCAGCATACCGTCGGTGCCTGAACTGAAGATATTTCATTGTTGAGATCAAATGGATTAACTGATTTTGACAAGTTTAGAACAGGTTGCATGGGCTGTAAAAACAGATAACATTTACTATGAGTGAAACAAAAATTATAAAAAAATACTCATTTTCTTGTATATAAAAATACTCAGTGTTTCATTATTTACTGAGTTTTTTTTTTTCGTTTTTTCAAATTTTTTTTTTTTTTCTCCTTATAATGAGTGTATATATATATTTACAAAACAGAGTAATTTTTACAATCATGTTTAACTGCTAGATACCATTGCAGCATGATATTGCATATTGAACCCATATCCATGGGGATGACCAGTTTGCCAGCCTGGAAGTGGTACAGAAGAGGGATAAGTTGCAGCAAATAAATCCTGCAGACAAATTACAATAGACAGTAAGATATGGAAAACCATGCCGATCAAATATATATATGGAAAACCATAAATGAAACAAACATGCGCACAAGAGATGAAAAGGATGAAGCAAATAAAAACCCCATTACCTGTGGTAACTCTCTTCTTCCACTAGGCTTAACTTCTAGGGAAACTCCAGAAGTAACCTCTTGGGCAGGTTTTGAGACTAACTGGGATGTTTGTCCACCTGGTATACTAGAAGGTCCTTGTGTATTTGGGGCAATAGATGAATGCCATGGCTGCAAAAATTGCATGGAGAATTATAGAATAGCTATGGCGGAGTTATTACATAACTGGATGAAGAAAGCCATGCCATGAAGCACACCTGAGTGCTTGAAGATCCAGTAACTGGTGGAGTGAATGGCTGAGCAGTAGGCTGAACCTGAATCCCAGTATTAGGAAATAAAGACTGTTGCTGAGGAAGCATGGTAGGCCATGTCGATCCCGGAGCTGCAGCCGGAGCACCACCAGTGGGAAATGTTGTCAAGTTGTTTGATGTTGCAGCTGTTGGAGCATTAACTCCGAAGGGTGATATGGACACCTGCCCTACGGGAGCGGTCATTGGAGAGCTAAAAGGGTGAAACATCGTCAAGTTGTTTACGGGTGTGGCCGCTGGAGCATTACTGCCAAAAGGTAAGATGGACATTTGCCCTACAGGTGCACCAAATGAATTACTAGATGGAAATGCAGACATGTTGCCCACAGGTGCAGTGATACTGCCAGTACCAGGGACTCCAGCTGTTTGACCCGGTACAGATGCTGGAACTGACAATTCTGAAAGTACAGACTGCAGTGAATTTGCATTGGAAGGAGCTTGAGTTACTTTCACCTCTGTGGGGGAGTCAAAACATGCCCAGTTGTCAGCATTGGATGAAGTTGTTGGCTGCAGAACCAATTGACTTGTAACTGTTTGTTGTGGTTGTGGCACTGCTGCAGTTGTAGGTGGTTCAGGGGCATCAAAATCAATTAAAGTTCCGAAACTCTCCCTTTTAAGTTCTGCTGGGTTGCCATTAGAGGATGCCAAGCTACTGGGAGATACAGTTCTCTGTAATTCGAATCATTAATTGAAGAAGTTACTTATTTTCTTGAGGAGAAAGTGAAAAGTGAAAAGTGAAAAGTGAAAAGTGAAAATAAAAGAAATGAAACTAATTACTTATTAACAAAATGCAATTAGATTAGATGAACAGATTCTGAGTAATAAAAATAACACATAAATTTGAAGTGGGTAAATGATACAGAGATACAATAATAACTTGCACCTATACGAAACAAGTACAGAGCCAAATCATGACCATAACTAGTTAAATTAGAGATTTGGGAGGCAAACACTTAAATATACACATGTTCAGCCAACAAAAGAAGAAACCTCACCTGAGTGCGTACAGAAACATCAGCTTTTGGAGGTTCAATAATTCTAAGGGGAGATACATTCTCCCCCAAAATATCTCTGACAGGCCGGACAGTAGGGGGACTGGACACATCCAGATCCTTTTGGCGGTCAGGTGACCTTCCTTCAACCTTAGAATTACCATCGTCGGATCTCCTTCCATTTCCAAACCTATCCTCCCGTCGCCAATCATTGACTATCTCAGTACGAGAAGGACTTCTCCTAAAATCACCGAACTGGCGACTTTCTTGATCATATCCTGGACTTCTTCTTTCATCATAACTATTTCTGTAATTTCTATCATCACTTCTTCCACCAGGACTAGGTCTGTCACTATACTGACGTTCATATGTGTCCTCATATGGTGGGCTTCGAGACCCACCCTGATAGGTATCTCGCCTGTTTTCATAGGAGTCTTCAGCTTCACCCTGTATGAGATACAAATGCATCCATCTAAAGAATGAAACCCACTGGCAGATCAACAAGCTCTAAAACAATCAAATCACTACCTTGTAAAAGGACCACCTGTGATATGAAGTAATCCCTCAAGGTTTTCTTTGGTGTGTGTGTGTGTTTCTTTTTATTTTCCTTTTTCTTACCGTCTTCACCCTTGGAGGTTTGTCAAAGCTCCTCTCACCAGTATATCTTCTATCCACATAAACATGCTTGATGAAATCCCGTAGTCTGTCAACATTACTGGGGGAAAATGTACAAATCAGAACTACAGTTTTACTGGAAGACATAACATAATAACACAAAAACAAATAATAACCTGCTGTCAGGGACAGAGTGACGCTGTGGATCCCATTCCTTGAAATAAATTTCCTTCGCACGCTATTAACATGAAACAGAATTGAATTTTTTATGATAAATCAACAAGTTTTTTATCAATTGACAGATGATATATTATCAAGCAGATCTTTATCAAATTACGTATTCATACCGTATTTCCTCCTCCTTGAAGGGCACTAACTTCTTGCGAAGTAAATTTAGCCATGGAGACTGACTTTACTCTGTGAGTGAACTCCCGACTGAAATTAGTTTTGAATCAATAATTCAGCATTTGACTGACCAGTGAGCAGTAATCATCATAGTGTACATCATACTAGAAAGCTTATCCCCACTCTAGACTTCTCTCTCCACTTTAAATAACCAATATACAAGTTATAAAATATGTAAGTGTTGTGGTGAAGTAAAAAAGTACTTACTGTATTCCACTACAGTTTGTGCAGATGAATGTCCAGAAATTCGTGCATACATACTGCGGTCCCTGTTTTGCAAAAGATAAATTAGCCCCATTATTAAAAGATCAGGCGTGTTATAAAGAAGATCAGTAGCCATCAACACTAAAAATACAAAATCCATAAAATCAACAACATAAACAAATATCGCTTCAAAATTCCGATGCGATGGAACAATAACACCAACCACAGAAAATACTAGAAAAAGAAGCTACTTGTGATAAGTTTAAGTTTACCAATAGTTCCTATTCTTTTACCTTTAGCTTTTAAAAACTTCATATTTCCATTTTGTAACCATTTCCATACCAGCTCACCAAAACCACGGCATTCCCATTTTCTTTTTCGTTTTTTTTTTTTTTTCTTCCTTTTTTTTTTTTTTGTACTGGGATCTCTGGATTAAATCTTCTAGTTGCAAATTTTTTTACTTCCAGGTTTGGAAATTGTCTACACTTTTTGAGTTCAGTTCTGTGGTTTGTTTCGGGTTCAACAAGGCTGCAGTCCACAAGGACTATAGAAACAAGTAAGTAACTTGAAAGCGCAAGCGATTAAGAATGTCTGTTGATCTCAAGGCTTCGTAAATTCATGATATACCTTCAACAATATGCTGTCATCTATATAAATTTCTTCCAAAAATTAGCAAAAGCAATAAACAATCCCCAAACAAGCAACAACCAAGCAGAAAATTGCACACAGGTCTACACAAAATGTACATAAATGCCTTATTTTATCAATGACCAAAGTTGCACAAGCATTAAAAAGTTTTGGAACGAGATTTTTGGAAATAAAGCATCTGCATTAATTTATATTCTATAAGAACATAACAAACATGTCCATCACTTATGTACATAAATGCCTTAATTTATCAATGACCAAAGTTGCACAAGCATTAAAAAGTTTTGGAACAAGACTTTTGGAAATATGTATCTGCATAATTTATATTCTATAAGAACATAACAAACATGTCCATCACTTAGATACACATAAAATGCATTACAAAATTGAAGGAAATTACTTAAGATCCAATGATATAAGAAAAAAAAATGTACATTTATAACTAATAATCCCTCCTCTAGATTTTAGGAATTAGTCTTATATTGCATTTTTTTTTCAATTTATTTGAATGAAATTTCATATGACCTATAAAAAGAATATAAAAATACATATTTTGCATGTATTCCTCACATGTCGTGTCTTGCATTTTTTAAATATTGTCATGTCAACATGCCTGTGTTTATGTGGATGTGGATGTGGATGTGGATGTGCTTCTTAGGAGGAGGCATTTGATCTACATATTTATGTCTCTTCAAGAAACTGCAGTGCGCTATTTGCACAAAAAAGATCAATTAACGACAGTGTTACGTGGACTCTTCACTCTTCTATTTCTCTAACAGCATCCATATCTACTGACTATGACAAGGGTAAGCATGTGAGATATATGTCCGACAACCATACCCAATTTAGACACTTTGATCCTTTAAGTTTATATGATGTTTAAAGAAAAAGAAGCTCACATTAGCTAGTAAACTATGAAGCATGAACACTTCAAAATAGGTGTCGTAACAGTGTTGGACATGCGGACATGTACGGGACACACCATGTGGCATGTCCTTTTAATTTTATTATGTTTTCTTCTTAAATTTTTGTAAATGTCTTTTGGTGTCAAAGTGTAAAATTAAGAAAATAAAAAAAGACAAAAGCATAATCCAACCTCTACTTTTGCCCTAAATCCCTAAATCAGAAAAACAAAAGAAAAAGAAGAAACGAAATCAGAAGCTCCAATTGTCTCTCTCTCTCGCCTCTCGAAGAACACAGTAAGTCCCTCTTTCTCTTTCCCCTCTCTCACCTCTCACCTATGTCTTCTCTCTCTTCTGAAACTCTCTTTTCTTTTTCTTTTTTATTTTTAAATTTGTTTTCTAATTATACATACTCTCCCTCTCTATTTTTTCTTCTCTCTCTATTTCTGTATTTGTGATGAATATTTTCTTTTCCAATTAGTGGTTTATATATATTGAATTAATGTTACTCCCTCCGTCCCAAAATAATGGTCCCTTTTGGAGAATCCAACTTTTTTTGGTAGTACAATTATTGCATTTGAAAAAAGTTGATGAAGAACACAGTAAGTCCCTCTTTCTCTTTCCCCTCTCTCACCTCTCACCTATGTCTTCTCTCTCTTCTGAAACTCTCTTTTCTTTTTCTTTTTCATTTTTAAATTTGTTTTCTAATTATAGATACTCTCCCTCTCTATTTTTTTTCTCTCTCTCTCTATTTCTGTATTTGTGATGAATATTTTCTTTTCCAATTAGTGGTTTATATATATTGAATTAATGTTAGTTTTTATTAATTTTGATTGTTTAGCAACATAATATTAATCTACATTGCAAATATATATAAAAATAGAAATAAAAATTTGCCGGGTCTCCCACCGAGTCAATGTCCCCATTTTTTTGAAATCATTGTGTACTGTATCCGTATCCATATCCATATCCATGTCCGTGCTTCATAGCTAGTAAATAAATATTTATTGCTTCTCACATAGATGGGGGATAGAAATTTTATAGTTTCTCTAAATCCTATTTAATTTTGAGTACAATTCTAAATAAATTACATTATGTAATCTAAAAATATTTTATATATATATATATAAGTGATCAGGATATGTCCTCGTAACCATACCCAACATTTGGATACCAATCACAATATCCTAAGATTTGCTATTATGCAGCAGAAGGGCATCTAGTACTTAAGTTAATAATATACTATATTTATCACTCCCACGAATAGCATGTACTGCTCCTACTCTCACGAGAACAACCTGTACAATGACTTATGGTCCTTACATAACTTGACCGCCTGCTTGTTCACAGTGAATTCGCATGCACATAGTAAACGACACAACACATGTATTCCTGCCTATACAGCAAATCTGGGCCAAAAAAAGAAAATCAAAATGAAAAGGATAAGGACACCTACGAAATATAATCAGAAGGCTAACGCATATATATTACATAAGAAAATAAGTATTTTTTATTCTTCATCTAAAATTCTACTCTAATATTTGCAAAACAATTTATAGGTGAGGCTCATTGGTTAACAATATACATACAGTTATTGTGTGTTATGGGTGGAATGGTGCTTACCTAATGCTTCTTTCTTATAATCTTTATTCCTTACAATTATATTCTTCTTCATTAACATGCATTAATTACATGTTTGCACTATATTGGTCATGTCTATGATATCACATTTATATGACAAAGGTTTGACAAATTGTTGAAGAGCATCTTGCATGTATGCAGAAATATTAGCGGAGTTCTGCATCAAATATAGCATGGCTTCTTAAAAGAGAAAAAAGATTTGAGTTCAAAGTTCTAGCCATGACATGAAAGTCTAATCTCAGCGACACCTAAGTTTGTAAGTGTATTAAGCTGTATGATTTTAATGATTCCTTGGACAAAACATGGCAAGTGAAATCACTTTGTTTCCAAAAAGAAAAATATTAACACACAAAGTCAAACTCATAATCAAAATTATCACTAAAATACAATGCAATCAAACTCCAATCATGTAAAAATTGCCAGAAAAAAACAATCCTCATGCTGAATTTAATTGGGTCTTCTCTATACATAAGATTTAAAAAATAAATAATAAAAAAGTCAAATAGATATCATTGTCGGATTAGGATACCAAGACACTTTCTAAAATTAGCTTTCTTTAATAGTTTGCAGTATACAGTTTTCAAATCTGTGTATCCTATCCTATCAAGTATTCATTCTAATAATTTTCTTATAGTGTCTTAGATGATGAATTTAATTTCTATAAATAACATGAAATAATTACATGTTCAAAAAATACCTAGCTCTTGGAATCTACACATGGACCCTTTAGATGTGTGAAGTAATTTTGTCTGACATGAAGCAACATGAATATGGATATGTTAGCTGGATATGCACCCAATAAAATAGTTTGGTAACTCAAATAAACTATATAATAAATAGGGTAAATTACAAATACACCCTAAGGTTTATTAAAAGTACAAACTTCCCCACACGTTTGAGAAATTACATTCCACCCCTTGAGATTTGTAATAGTAGAAATGATAGCCCTCCTTTAGAAGATAGTCAAAGAAAGCATATTTATCTTTGAATGTTCTCCATCGTCCCAAGGCTTTGTCGACGGTCAATATAATCCTTGTTAACTTATGGAAATTGGCGATAACATTTCCATAGCATTTTTCAAAGAAACAATTAGTTTGTCTGGGCATTATGTGCTGTTATTGTGCAACATAATTTTCCCCTAGATTTTTGGATTTGAGCGTATCAAAGTCTCTGACAAAATTTAGAGAAATACTAAATACTAGGGTGGTGTTTGGCAACTTGGAATTTGGCTAGAATAGCCAATAAAGACAAAAATAAAAAAAGGCTAAAATAGTCAATAAGACAAAATGTCACATTTTATATATCAATCAATCACTTTTTCTCTCACAACCATCTATTCAAGTACAAAAAAAATCCACAAATCATCTCAAACAACTTTTTTTCATCTCATAAAATAATTAAAAAGCCGACTAAAATAATCAAGTTCCGAAATGAGGCCTAGTAAGACCATCTCCAATCGTTCACCAAATTTAAATTTCATGAAAATTTTGATGAAAATCATATTCAATCCCTTCATCAAACTTGTACCAAATCAAGGGAAAGGAGATTTATCCATATATTCTCTCTCTCTCTCTCTCTCTCTCTCTCTCTCTCTCTCTCTCTCTCTTCTTTACTTCTCTTAGTCATTCACTCTTTTTATTTATTGGTGCATCGCCCTCTGTTCTGTCTTTCCTAAACACTCTCTCCCTCTCTCTCTTCCTCCCTTTCCTCTCTCCCTCCCTTTCCCCAGTCTGTTATTTTGCTTCTTTCATAGTGAACAACGAAATGAGACTAGAGCAAGTAGAATGGAACAGATGTAGAAGAGACATTTTTAGAAATCTTAGAATCTGAAGTTTTTTTTCTAAACCTACTCGGGAAAAAATAAATTGGCAAAATGTTATCAGCAATTTCCATAAGTTAACAAGGATTGTATTGACTGTGAACAAAGCCCAAGGACGATGGAGAACATTCAAAGAAAAATATGCTTCCTTCGAGTATCTTCTAAAGGAGCTCTATCATTTCTACTATTATGATAGAAATTGCAAAACCCCAATCAGCAACTTTTACAATTGTTTGGACCTTAAATAATTTTTCTGTCGATTATGGCTATTTATTATTATTGTTCGGACACTTGGCATCCCTGTAATTCTTTGAAGGTTAGGACAAGTTAGGAGAAGTTGTAATGCAAGTTGTGCAAATTAAGGGATGGATGACAAGTGGTAGCCTCGGATGAAGATGGAAGTTCTTGGAAGTTATATGGGTGGTTGAGAGGTGGTTGAGTGGTGGTTAGTAGAAGTTTTTTCCTACATTTATTTTGTATAAATTGCTATTAATGGCTCTATTGTAAGGAGCACCAACAAATCAAATACAAGACTTGATTTCTATTTCTTTTCTATCCTAGGAGTAAATCTAATCTACATAGGAGTAGTTCAAACTTCTATAGTAGTTTTAATGTACTTGTAATTTGATTGTTTGTTCAATCATTTTACTTCATCATCTTCTTCTTCTCTCTTTCCCTTTTTCTTGTTTATTTTGCCTATTTTTTTACTCCAAGAAAGTCCTTAAACTTTTAAGGGATAGAACCTCAACACAATTAATTGCTTAATCATTGTGTTGTTTAGTGAAATTTCCGTTAAGCCTCTGTCAATCTACGCCTAACAAAAATTTTACTAACAAGTAAATCATTATGGGTTCTTTGTAAAAATAAAAATTTTAAATAAAAATAAAAAATAAAAGCATCTGCTTCTCAGTTTAAACGGAAAAGCAACAATTATGACACATTAACAACCAAAGTTTTATTTTTTACTAATTTTAACAACAAATGGATATAGAAATTCAAATGATCAATGGTTTGTCAGGTAATCGGATTCAAATTAGAAACAAACAGGGAAAAAAAAAAAAAAACAACCATCGAAAGCAAAATAAAGTTATCAAGTATCATACCAAGCTGTTACAGTTAATACACCGGCGGTTATCAGGAAGTTTGAGAAGATTCCGTATAATTCTCTCGTTTTTCTCATCTTCCTTCATCCGATTCGCCATTCCTCACTCCAACCTCCAATCAAAACCCTATCTTCACAAGCACCAACACAAAAATCACATGAATCCAACACAATTCATTACAAATCACATCAAAATCAGCAACAACAGTAACAAATTGACAAGTATCGAACTCGAATAACATTAGTATCGATCAAAAATCACACTCACGGAGCATCAGATCTGAAGATCACAAAAATCGAACTTGAAAAACACAACTAAAATTCACAAACATATGTTTACATACACAAGATAGTAGAATTGGAACCCTAGGAACTGACCTGATCGAGGTTGTAGAGTGGTGTTGATGGTGAGGAATGTGGAGAGTGATAGAGAGATCGTTTGGTGGAGGATTTGGAAACGACGGCTTTGTACAGCTAAAACTCTTTTGCTTTTTCTAAAAATAAAAATGGAGAGAGAGAGAGAGAGAGAGTTGGGGGAATATTAGGGTGTCCGCAGCCGCAGGAAAAGGTAATGTGTCCGATGAGGATGAAACTGTTGACGACTTTCAACAGTCGTAAGAGGCGACTCGTGTTTTAGTTGTTATTCACGGCATCATTTGAACAGTTTAATTACAATTCGTTTGGATTTGGTGAAAAAAATAAATAAATAATAAAAATAAAAATTAGTTATTTAGATGGTTAAACAGGTAAAAAATGATAAGAGATGGTGAAGAAATATTCTCATCAAATTTATATTTTGTTTTTTTTCGTGAGATTTAGTGATAAAGGAATTAAGTTTAGGGTGATTCTATTTACCCATTATTAATACTCTCAATATAAATTATTAATAAATTAAATTTATATTTTACTAATATCTTTTAATCAAATGACCATTAAAGACAACATGGAATGTATTCTACCTATTTAAAAATACAAAATACTCTTCACACACTATCATTCTTATAGGGTTTAGGGTTTTAACATATAAATATTGTATTTCTTCATCATTTTCACATTAACATACACTCATGATATCATTCATTATCAATTAGCTCACTTCATTCTTTTTTTCATTATACTTATTTTTCAAACTCGAAATATTATTACCTTTGAAGATTTAGGGTTTGAAAATATTGAAATTAATTAATTTTGAAAATTTGCACACCATAGATGACACTAAGATGGTTGGTTTATGTATAAACATTGAAAACGTTGATTTGAAAATTGAAAAAATTAGTTTATGACTTAGCTTTTTAGTTTTTTATTTATTTCATTCGTATATTGGGAAATTGAGTTTGTTCATCATATTCCGATAACTAGAGTTAAACTTTTACACAATGTTCAATTATTTAGATTTGGACAAAACAATTTTGTTCAAATTATTAAGATTGATCACATATTAAGGCATCATTTGGGAAGTAACATTTTTAGTCTAAAAGCTAAAAAGTTACTAAAAAAAAAACATATAACTTATACCAAAAAGTCAAAAATTCTCTTTACTCTCTACTTTTTGCATATCTTTTTGTAAAAATTATTCAAAACATACAAGTTTTTTTTACCTTATATTTTAGCCAAAAAGTTTCTAAAATAGTATATTCCTAAACAAGGCCTAAATGTTCATACATAAAAAATTGAACATTTTAAGTCAGTTCAGTTAAAATAAATTAAACTTATATTCATTATTCAGATATAAATTTTTGAACACATTAAATGGCTAATTTGATAAATTTGTTAAATTTGATAATCAAAAAAGCCCAACACACAACTATGCATTCTTGCACATGGCTAATTTGATAAATTTGTTAAATTTTTTACAGAATTCTATACCTACCCAACGTAAGAATGTTAAAACTGATCGTATTGTTGACTACAAAAGTGAATTTGTTATTAAAAAGGTACACTCATATTTCATCATTTTCACCATTAACATACAGTCATGAATCAAAATGGCAATTTGAAACGACGACGAGAGATGAGAGACGAGAAACGAGAATTTAACACCGACTATGAAAATCAATACCGACGAAATGGAAGTCGAATGAAATACTTCGTTGGCGATTTGAAACGACGAGACGGCAAGATGAGATATGAAGAAAGTTCAACACTAACTATGAAGATCAATATCGGCGAAGATGGAGACCAAATGAAACTTCCGACGGCGATGGAGATCAAGACTGACAAAGACAGTCTCTATTCTAAGGATTGTAGGTGTGGGTGTGGGTGTGGGTGTGGGTGTGGGTGGTTTGTTGCGTGTAGTGGAGAAAATGAAGAGTTTTTAGTGTGTATTCAAATAATTAGTGGTGTGTTAATCTAGGGTTAGTAATGGAAAGTTAAGGTGTGCAATAAGATATTTTTAAACCCTAAAAATTATTTTTTGTGTGTACTAAGTAATAGTGTGTATTGAGAGTATTAGTGGTGTGTAAATATAATCACCCTTAAGTTTAATGAAAGTTTTCTAAAATATCAAAATTATCATTATGGAAAAAAATATAGCTTATTAATATGGAAGGTTATTTTGATAAAATAAAATACAACACTTTTCTTTCTTTTCTCATATTTACTCTATCCAAACAAAATAGGTGAGAAACTACATTTTCTTTGTTTTTATTTATTCAAACATAATGGCGAAAAATCATAATTATTTCTTCTCTTTTCTCACCTAGGTAAAAAATCACAAACATTTATTCTCACCTCACCTTATTTTACGATCCAAACGGAATGTTAGTTGGATCCAAAACTAAAGATGTTGGGTGTAAGGCCAAAAAAAAAAAAAACTTTTGTAGTGTTTAATGGAGTTGAAATTATCAATTTTTGAAAAGTTGTAATCAATTTATGCCTAATTGGAGAATTCGCCCTATTTGCACTACCAAATTCAACTAATTCCTTCCAGCCTTGCTCAAATAGGGGTGAGGCCATGTGACGAATACAAGCTGAACTTTGAAGCAAAAAATCCAAAGGGCTTGTAATAAAAGTTATTCATGCAAAAATTCAATTTCATCATATATCTATATATATAAGAATAAATCACAATTTATTTTATAAAATGAAGGGCAAATATAAATATAAATTTAAGCCATTCATTTTATATAATAAAATACGATTTGTTGTCATGTTTTTAGTTGTCCAATAAAACTAAATTTTTTGCATAAATAACTTTTATTGTGAAATGTAAGAAGTAAACGGTTCAGATCACCTTTATCTACTCAAGTTAAAGCCCACAAAAAAGTTATGAATGAGTATGAAGAGATGAATTATGAAGAAGAGCTTATTCTACTTCACACATCATTTTATGTTTTTTCACACATTATTTTTAATTTGAATATAATTTTTAAATAAAATCAACTTTCAAATTATTATTTTTTGCTCAAAATTTGAATTTTAAATCATGTAATTTTACTTGAAAACTAATTTCCAAATTAAAGATGATGCGTGAATTGTGAAAGGTGAAGCGATGCTAATAGCATCCCAAAAATTCCTTTGGACCCCTCATTATTAAAAAATAAAAGTATGTATTTATTACAATTTTATCTTATAATAAAATATCAATTTTACTTTCATCTCTAATCATATCCCTACCTAGCATCCACTACCATCAACTCAGCCCACCACCCCAACCTCAGAAGCCTCTTACCCCTTCACAACTTTTCCCACCCCAAACCCTTTTTAGCATCGTCCAAATTCACCCCCGTTACACCCCCTACAAACCTTTTTCCTTGTGACCCTCTCATTCCCCTTACCTTCAAGGATTTTATATCTCTGACTTCACAATTATCTCTCTCTTATGAAGCATAGATACTTCGAAAAATATGTCATATCCGTACCAAGTACTTACCGGCGTACTGTACCTCATATGGTACTTTTGCATACGTACCGGGTACACGAAACACGTACCTAAGTTTTTTCTTCTTAATTTTTGACGTACCCAGACATACCTAGTATATATAAAAGCCGTACCGTACCTCAGTTGAAACAATATTTTCCTTCTACCACAGAGATAAAACTCATTTCACTAGATTTCTTTTTTAGTTTTTGTTTTATGTTTAGCATGATTTTAAAATTAAACTATGGTTTGTAAGTTGTTTAATATATTGATATTTAATTTTGATTTATACTTTTTATTTTGACATTAAATGTTAATTATAGGTTGGACCTTAACAAATTAAACCATTTAATTATTTTTTGCATTACTCTAAATTAAAAATAAATATTTTTTTACAAGCGTACCAAGCCACATTTAATTTTGATTTATACTTTTTCTTTTGGCATTAAATGTTAATTATAGGTTGGACCTTAACAAAATAAACCATTTAATTATTTTTTGCATTACTCTAAATTAAAAATAAATATTTTTTTATAAGGGTACCAAGCCGTACCCGTACCCTATTTTTTTTGAATTTTACCGTATCAACGTACCCCTATCGTATCAGTACCAGTATTCGTACATGTACCTGTGCTTCATAGTCTCTCTGTGTGTGCGCGCGCACGTGTGTAAGAAGATGGTGTCATAGGGTAGAGATGGGCTAGAGGGTGGCAGGAAGAGCTACGGAGTGATGCCAAAAAGTAGGAAATGGGGAAGAAGGTGAGGCGGGAAGGTAGAGAGGTATTGGAGGTAGTGGCTAGAGCAACTAATTATGGGTTAGGATTTACGAGTGGGTTTATTTTTTTTTTTGTATTAAGTTGGATGTCTAAAGATTTTTTTACGAAATTTAAAATTTGTTAAAGGTGTCCAAAGATGTAGGCATCCTAAAAAAATCGAGTGGGGGTTATTAGCAACACACAAGAAAGTGATGTGTTAAAATAGAAGCTTTCGTTAATTAACTTTCATTCTCAAGGTAAATTACATATTTACCCAAAAAAATTGTGCTTTTTCAATATATTTTTTGGGAGATTTCTTGCAAAATTTTAGGGATTTGGTAATATATGTTTCTTTTGTTTTTATGTTCAAAATTTTAAAAAACACCGACACTCACTAGGATTACAGGGCCTACAAAATCATATTACATCTTGCCGTAATTTTTTACGTTAAGGCATCGTTTGGTATTGGTTTAAAAATTTGAGAATGTTTAACATAAATAAATGTCTACTAAAAAGAAAAATACAAAAGGTTGAATGCTCATTGATAAATGATACTTAAAGCCAAAATTCTCTATGTTTAAGCTAGTTCCCCAAAATTAAATATAACATTTTACTACTTAAATTCCGAGAATACACTTACAAGACAGATAGTTATAGTTTTATTTTATTTTTTCATGCAGTTGTTTCAAAAAAAAAAAAAAAAAAGGAGATTATACCCTTTGCTTGAACACATGGCGCTCTAAGAACACCCAATAATTTTTCCTTTGGTTTTCAATTTTCTATCGAAGTTAAAAATATGAATTTTAGATGTTAGATAAAATTTTAGGTCTAGAATTAAAATTTCCTAGTTTATTACAAAAAATTACAAAGATATGAACAAAGGCTCTCTTTTTTTTAGTCAATCGATAGGAGGGTAGTTATAAAAGGTTATGTTTCTCTTATGTT